CGATCAACTGATCGCAATAAGGCGATAATATTTCGATAATCGATTAACTGATCGTAATAAGGTGATGATATTGATTTTTTCTATAAATAATTTTGCATATTTCTTGTTTAATTTTCATATGTTTAAATAATCAAAGTATATTTTATTCATTCAAACATGTCTAATTAATATTTTTAAGCATTTGTTTATTAGACTTGAGTTAAAATCTTGTATGTGGCATATAATGGAAGACAACTTACACTATGCAAAGAATAAATAGAATATATTATGAAAAATGTTAAAAAAATAATATAGGATAAGGTATTTGAAAGATATGTGGATATCTTTATTGTTCTCTAGAATAGAATAGTGAAAATAATTTTTTTAGTTAAAATATATTTTATATGAAATAAAAAATAAAAATTTCTAGAATGTTTAAATTTCAAATTTACAAATAAATCATAGTTGAATACGAGTTATAATGTATTATAAACAAATGTTAAAAAACTAAAAGAAAATTTGTAATGGTAATTTTAGAGGTTAAAAGTATTCAAATATTTTTTATATACCTTATCCTATAGAAACAGAAGCTCGTATTACATAATAAATGATATGTAATAAAATAACATTAATTTTTTAACATATTTACTATGTCGAAAATATATTTTAAATATTTCGTAAATTCCGAAATTTTAAATTGATCAGAGCGCGTAACGAACGGTTCTAAATTCACAGGCGCCACCGGCACGAGAAAAAGAGAGAGCTGCCCACAGAAGCACTTTGTTCGACTATAGTCAGAGCGACGAGTCCAACATTTAACGAGTGTAGTATCTAAACCACGTACATAGATCACACATAACCTCACACACATACAGACACAGAATAAATTTATAGCGAAACAAGAAATATCAAATTGTGTATAATAATTAACATAATAAAACTCGTGTGCGTCCGTATGCATATGTGCGTGAGAACGAAAGAAGAAAAAGAAACAGAAATATCAGAAAGGAACACAGAGGGAAGATATATTAGATATGTTAGAGAGAATGTGTCCAGCGAGAATGCGTTACATTATCGCATATACATATATACATATACAATTTTAAGTGTTAAGTAACCCACGCGGAAGCGAAAAAACGAGTTAAATATAGGATATTCATTTAGAAAATAGAGAAGACCGTTCGAACAACGTAGCTCCGATACATGGAGTCCCCTGTTTCCCATTACTCTTCCCTTTGGTACTGTTCTATTGTGTAAAGTCGACGATTAAATCGTTTATAAAATTTTCAATTAGAAAAGATTTAGAAAAGTATCAGAAGAAATGTTTTCCTTGATATAGATTTATAATTAAAGGCTTATATAAGTCTTATATATTATAATGACGATCTGGTCATTTGATCTGTTCGACGAATTTATTGTTCAAATATGATTAACACAAATAGACGTTCGATAAACATTGTTACGCTATGACTACTGTTATTTCATAAGCAAGAATATACATACATATAGATGTCAAGTGTCTAAAGTGTCCTAGAAGCAAAAAAATTATAAGTGCTTAAATGAACAGCTTAATTTTACATCCAATACTAAACATTTAATTGAGAAACACTTTATTCTCGTTTTATATCGGTTTTTAAACGATTTAATCGAATCGATTGAACACATTTGACGCGAAAAATTTACGAGCACGAAAAACGTGAAATTGAATCGATAAATCTTTTTCTCTTTCATTATGGTTTTTCGTTCTCACGAGTTATTCACGTCAATTGTACAGTCCTCAAATTTTTTAGTTGTGTTCACTATATTGTATACAGTGGGATCAAATTACATGCGTTAGGATCGACTAATCTACGTAAACTGATCATCTCACGTTTAACATGTCGCCGTGTATTCGCGCATGCGTACATGTCTTTCGTGAAGTGAAATTTGCCTAAAAAATTTAAATAAAAATTATTGAAGTATACTTTCTTTAGAAATAAACAAAAGTTAAAAAAAGAAAAAAAAGAAAGATATGGGACAAAGTGATGTTTAAATAATCAATTCATGTATCTTCTAAAACAAAATTTCTTATGTCAAATTCAATTGGATTGAGAAAGAATCATTACCGTCTCGTAATCCAACTTTATCGGTTAATAATAACCGAAATAATGGACATACAAGACAGTTACTTTCTAGTCCAAAAACATGTTACGAAAAAAGGGGGATGGTCTAAAAAGGTCTAAACTCTACTAAAGAATAAAAGGGAAGGCTCTCTTTCAGGCTTCAGCGTGGAATGCTCTTAGTGTATATCTGTTAGGACAACGTGTAACTAATTATCGAGTTAACGACGTGATTAGATTTATCAAATTCAATTAGATAGTAACTGTGCATAAATGGCGAGATCGTTGCCATAGCCATGACCGCGACCGTCCCTTTTCCCCCTCCCTTCTGAACATAATATCGATCCATAATGTTCGATTAATTCACAAAATTATCCTTGTGATGATTAATTGCTTAGTGTATCTCAATAGGACAATCACAAATAATTTTGTATTAGTGTATTACCAAAATTACAATTAAGCGTTTATGGAATTTCAAATGGCGAATATTATTTTTCTTTTTTTTTTGTCAAAATCCAAACATTGAGGTTCTATGCGCTGTTGCCGATTGAGAGACTATAACGGAATTTGTAAATTTTCTTCACATTGTATGTTTCCGTCATTGTCAAGTTCTCTTTATATAATTAAATTTCATGTGGTTAATATAGATCGTATTTCTCGAAATAAAAGCATGTACAAAATGTAATAAGAAATATATCTTTGGTAATGACACAGATTTTCGCATGTTTGAGATAAAAATCGATAGCATAAATTCTAATCGTGATTTTCTTCATTAGCAATATATTAGCATTATATTATTTTGAGTTATTATACTAATTAAACATATAAATATATGCATATTATACATATGAGATTTTTTTATTCGAAATATAATGATGAGCTTCGCAAAATAAAAAATAAATAAAATGGAATAAAATCGGGAGGGGGAAAGGATATCTCACAGAATATAGAAAAAATATGGGAAGAAATGAGAGAGGAGAGAGAGAATGAGAGTGAGAGAGCAGGAATTGATAATAGTGGTTTGTAACTCGATGTTGAATAGCAGGAAAGACCTTGTTATTATCGTGCAGTGTGAGTTCGTCAATTTCTGCTCAACTTAATTATAGTGAACGAAAAGAAGAATTGCTAATAATAAATGATTATAATAATGACATTAGTATATGTAACGATACAATACTGAAGCATCATCATCTTTTGTATCATTTGTTCGTTTGTTTTTATCTTACTGCGTTTGTCTTTCATTATTAATGCAATACCAAGATGACTCGGTTTCGACACGGTATCTTGTGTGTAAATATATACTAATAAAAAATACAAACATATAAAAATGACTTATTACATTATAATCTTTATCCCATATAATATTTCTGAAATATAATAATAATTAAAAATTATTTATGAAAATTATTTAAAAGTTTTAGAATGATTTAAATGATTTTATTTGATTTTTATTAATATTAAATACATAATTTACATAATAAAAAGAAATATATATATTTAGCATAATAATAAGTACAAATCATTTATCTATATTTAGGATCATTGCTTTACTCTGATTAGTATATCATTTTATATTGAAAAAAAATGATTTAATGTAAATAAAACTAATATGATTATGATTTGAATGAAAATCACACAGAGTTCACTCAATTTTAATTTAAAAAAAAAGAATAGAAAAAGAATAAAAAAAAAAGAAATAGAAAATTATTTTCGAAAAAATTTCATTGTTTCACAAAGATTTTCAACAGATAGAAGGCACAAGATGCAATGTTACATACATATACATACAATATTATTAACATTATTACAATTATACATACAATTAACTTCTTTTAGCAATACACATATGTTGTGATATTGTGTTTTTGTAAGATATGCATTCTACAGAGATAAATTTCTAATAAAAGATTAATAAATGATTTAAATAGATATTAGAGTACATGCATAAGAATAAACTAAATGTATATGTATGTTAATTTGCATTTGATTATTTTAAATCTTGTGATAAAACTTAAAATCTTGTAATCCCAATGCTACCTTCTTCGTTCTCCCTTCTGTGTTTTTCGTTTTTCCTTCTTTTCCTCTCTTAGTTGTTTCTGTTTTTCTCTAAAATAATATATTTATTAATAACATATATATAAGTCTTCCTATATAAAAATTATTTTATTGAAACACACCGATCTTCTTTATCTTTCTCTTTTTTTCTTTGACTTTCCAATTTAGCTTTTTCTCTTTTTTCTTTTTCTTGTTGTATTATTGCAGCTGCATTTGTATTTTTCTCTATTCCACAATCTCCACCACTTGCTCCATCTTCTTCTCCATCTCCTTCACTATTCTCTTCTTCTGACATTTGACTATATTGTGCAAGAATAGCTTCTCTTATTTTCTTTTCTTCATCTGTATAACTTCTTTGTGTTGTAGTTGGAAGAGATTGAGACTCCAACATTCGCGCTAATCTGACGTCTACATCTTCTACTGGTACTTTTGGACCAGCCTTTTCCTTATTAGGTAGGTTTTCTTCCCAAACTTTTAAAATTTCCGTTACATGTTTATCGATGCTATCATCCTAAAAATAAATAAGATAAAAAATTATTATTTTACGATAAAACGATAAGTGTTATTTTCATTCGATGACATTCGATAACGTATTGTACGACATTGCTAAGATGTTAAAGAATATAAAAAACAATAATAATATTTGAACATGCACACACAACAACGAAATGCACAACATATCAAATTTGAGTAGATACATGCAAATTAATGAGAGAAAGAATAATAATAATTCTGCTGTTATTTTTGACCGGTTAATAAACATCGGCTACAAACAGCAAGCATATTCTAACCTCACAATTCCTGTGCTCCTCACCGTTATGCCCGTAAGTATGCCTTCAAGGGCTTCAATCTTCTCATCCTCCGTTTCATCACCTTGTAAAATTCCTTTGATGTATGAGCCAAATATACCTTCGTCAGTTTTTAAAGCTTGTAACTTCTTGTTAAGCCAATCATCGAAAGAATTCGTTGCAACTGCCATGTCCGGCTTTTTCAATTTTATAAATCTTTCAGTTGGTAACACGATCAAAATTCGAATGATTCTAACAGAATTTACAGATGATGTATGAATTTATAGATTCACTATTTTATAGAATTTAGTCCTGTTCTGAATTACCGATTAAGAAATTGAAAGTTTGATGCGCTCTCTATGATTTACGATGATAAATTAAAGAATTCTATAACCTAATCATAGAATAAATATAGACTAGATCTGTCACATATGTGATTTTAAATTTTTGCATCATATAATTCAAGAATTACATATAATAAAATTTAAAATATTTCAAATTATGTATTTTGGATTTTTTATTAGGAAAATATAATTAAATAAGAAGTGACATGTGAAATTTTTCTAATTTTCAAAAACAAGAATTTTTATGAATATTTATCTATAAAATATTTATCATTTGCATACTTATCTGTTTGAACTTATTATATTATTTAAATTTTAAATCGTTTTTTTACTTTTCTTAATTTTACAGACTTACCATTTGCATATTTATCACTGCTTTTTCTAATTTCTTGTCATATCGTAGATGAAATAAAATAAAAAAGAAAGAAAGTAATAGAAAAGCAGAAAAATAATATAAAATTGGTTATTAGTGCTATTTAATATTAAATATTAAAAATATTTCTTTAAAAGATGATAGAAAAAAATTGAAAATTAATGCCATCTCTTGAATATTTTTAAAATTTATCGTTTGGAAATATATCATTGGTATTCAGAAGATGGCGCTAACAGTCAATTTTATTTCTATTTTCTCTTGCTATTTGCTCTTCTAGTTTATATTTATGTTTCATTTACGGCATTCTACAGATGGCGCTGATTTAAATATTTTCAACTTCTCTGTGTTTCTTTCATTATTTGCTTTCCTTCTCTGTTTTATTCTAAAAAAATTCAAACGGTTTCGATATTTTAAAATCCTAATTATTTGAAATGGAAAAAAATTATTATATATTGAATAAATAAAAAAAATGAAACTAATTATGAATTAAAGTATAATATCAATATTATTATATTACGTTATTACGTTATATTAAACAAAGGAAGAAAAATAACGAATATATTTCATAACAATTGTATTATTATTTATGTACAATGTATACATGGCATTACAGAAAATAAATTTATTAACCTAATATGTGATTATAATACATGAGTGTTATCAAGTTGAAACCACTTGTTAAAATATTAATATGATAACTACAGTGATAGAAAAAAAATTATTTATTGGAAAAGCTCCTTAATTAATTAATTAATTAATAGGACGTAATTTACTATAATACATTCATAAATACGTTAAATTGAAAAACTGATATTATAATTCGTTCATTATTTATGTTGTCAATGTGTACATGTAACTAATACAATTTCAGCTATTTAAGTACAATATTTTCTTCTTGAATATTTCTAATCCTAAATATAAAAATTATTGATTATAATTTACATTAAATTAATATAAAGCATAAAAATATATTTGTTATATTTATGTACGTTCTTATATATATCTTTCTATATATATATACAAAGCGATAGATTAATTAATAAAATTCTATTAAAATATTAGCGATTTCATTTTTGTAATGTGTTAAATTAATATAAATTTATATATATATACGTGAGTGCGCGCGCGCGCACGTATATAAGTTTAAAAATTATTTTTTCATATGAAGATATTTATACGTTTGTAAATAAAATAAACTCTATATATTCTAACTTGTATTAGATTATTATAATAAATTTTTATTTCGTTATTTCTTATGATATACTCAGATTTATTAGTAATTGTCATGGTTACTAGTTAATGCAACGTTTTACTTGTTGCACTTTTTAATTCTTCTAGTCAGTGCTTTAAGAGATAAAACAGACTTAATAGTATTAGTTAAATAGAATTTTAATATCTTAAATAAATTTAAGTATTTTTCTATTTGGTTGTCGTTATCTATATATAACGAATTATACGCAGATCTATAAAACGTAATACATTATAAAATATTATTAACGATAAAATCTATTTTTGATCTCTAACTTACAAATAGAAATAATTTTAAAATATATTAAAATTATAGGAGCATATGATAACTGGCCGCAGATGAAAATGAAAATATAGTTTAAATGTTAATACAAATCTGATCGAGACATTCATTTATTGCTAATAATAATATAAACACGCATTCTTATTATATGATTATTTTTTCTGACAATAATGATAATTTAGAAAACCTAGATTTACATATTTCACATTCAACTCTTTGAATTGTAATATCAGTCTATCCAATATTTATCCATGTGAAGGAGATTCTACTAACTTTATTGTATTATAATTACAATTATTTCATCTTCATTTAAAATATCAATTTTTATCAAAAATAAACAAAATATGAAGTTTGGCGGAACCTCCTCTCTAGAGTTTTAACATGTATTAATAATATCTTATCATATTTTCAAATCATACATCTACATAATTTGTCTATTATTATTGTCTATATATATAATAAATACGATAATAAAAATTGTTGTAAAATAATTACTGTTGTCAATAATGTATTGCTAGAAATAATATAAGTTTTTGAGTACTTTTAACAATAATATTAACGTTTCAACCTTTGCTAGAAAGATAATCCTTTCTATTATGGTAACATTTTAATCGGTCCGAAAAACGAATATATATTTCGTTTCTTTTTTTTATTAGTTTTTTCATCGATTCAAAATGTATTTCGATCGGACCATAAAATATGTTTTTTAATAATGATATCGCGTACTCGGAGGTAGAACAATCTGTCCTGATTCTACGGAAATCTCAAGTCTCCGGATCTAAGTCTTGATCCCTTGGCTTGCTTTTCTTGTATTTTTTCTTTTTTTTTAGTTTCGGCATGATCTCGCAGCTGCAGCCACTTCGTACTTTGATGTAGTCTAATGTCCACATCGATCCACCCACTGTGTTTCCAGCAAATGTAGGAATCATGCGTTCTCTGTGCCGATGTCTCCCGTGTTCCTCTTTTCCACCCTGATACAATAAAATAAAATATTTAGTTAAAAATTTTAATAACATGTTTTATAATATATCAAAATATAATTTTAATAATATTCCTATATTTTTTTATGATATCAAAATCGTTTCATAATTGAATATGGTAAGGTTATGTTTAATTGTTTAATTAAAGTTTTAAAAAAATTTTTTCTTCAAAAGATTAATGGATCATCTGAGAAAATAATTAATCATATGTATATATTTTATAATTTATTTTGAAAAAAGAAAAATAGAAAATTTTTTGATTATTTTGTAGATTATTCATTTATTATATATATATTATCATAATTTCTATGATATAAAAGTATAGTTTTTAAAAAAAATAAATCAATGGCTAATTTTTTTGCATTCATCTATTTAAAATTTTTCTTATAATTTATTAATTTATAGTCCTGTATATATTGTTGAAATATATAAGTATTATTTACCTCGATTATTTTTTCTGAAAAAACAAAATCGTAAAAATTTGGCACAATCTAAAATTTTTTTTATCATATAACAATTAAAAATTAATGTCAATTATATCAACAATTATCTAATTTTGTAATTTTCGCGTAAATATATATTTCGAAACTTTTGATTATGAGCCTATTAAACTTGATACCATTTCTAATTATCACATTTAACGAACACATTACATGATATAGATTAAAGAAACGTGAGAGGCCAATGGAAATTAGATATGATTCACATCGCACCACGTACCGTCGATCCAGAATTTTCAATGATAGCATAAGTATACGAGAACTTCTGCACACATCTGGACTGGTTGGTGAACTTCCGGTCGATGAACCTGCACGGCTTGTCGAGGACGTCTGGCCTGCAGGAGTACTCGAAGAACCTCTGGGCGTTCTGGCCATCCCGATACAGTTGAACATACATGTTTTCCCGATTTCGACCGCCGACCGGTTCCACCATTTCCTCTACCGTAGGACAGCAATCGACTGGAAGCCCGTCCTCGCCTCCTTCGTGTCGCAGAATCATGTTCATCTCTCGATAAGTCATCCGTTTGGTAGTATCCTCTAAAGTCTGCGTCCTGAAATGTTAAGTGAAATTGAAACAATCGTGAAATATATCGATATATCGATATATATTCAATGTATCGAAATATATCGCCGAACAATTCATGATGTAGAAAATATAGGTTATCAAAAACAAATTGAAGAATATTAAAGAATATATAGAAAGAAAAGAAAAGAAAAGAAAAGAAAAGAAAAGAAAAGATGAAATAAAATAAAAGAAATAAAAAAAATTGAGAAAATAAAGAATAAAAGTAATCAGAAATTGATTTGAGAGAAAGAATATATTTCAAGGTAAGACCATAACATAATAGTGCATTTATGGATCAAAAAATATTTATCGTGATCAACTTGAAAGTTGCTTCTATAGTAATTATGAATAAAAAAAAATCTCATTAGAGTTTAGTTTACAAAATAGTGATTTGTTCGTCCATCAAGAAAATACGTGTCTACATTAAACAGAAATGTTTTTGTGCAGGAGTAGCATCACGTTCATTGAAACTTGTGAACAGCTTGCGGGTAACTCGTGAGGAATTATAGAGTTGTTCGTTTACCAAAAGAATGTTATGCTACGTCCACATTGTTTTTGCTTCATAACTATAATGAACTATAATGAATAGCAATAATTATTCTTTCAGAAAATAATAGATTAAAAATTAGTAAGATTAAAGTGTTTCTAAATACATTAAAACATTTCTATATTTCTGGATTGTAACATTTCTTATATGAATACTGTTTTTGTTCATGAGATAACTAAATAGCTTGTCGATTGGTTGTGAACTATCAATTAATTATTATCAATATGGGCATTCAGAAATATAGCAGAGATAAAATTAATCAATTATATGTGAAAAATAATTTTATTTCAATGAATCTTACATTTAAATTACATATTCAGTTTAAACATCTTATTTCTTATTATTAGAGCATCATTATTATTATTTCATATTTATTTACATTAAATAAATCATAAAAGGTTAAACGTGGTTTGCCAAGAGCTCACCAGATGGAATCATAAACATTATTGTGGACGCAGCATAAGTGGCTCGTGTCTGAATCACATGCGCGATAGAATGCAGTCGTAATGTCGCGAAAAATCAGTTCTCCCGATAATTCGCCCTTAATTCCATATTCACTTGGTAAACCTCTCATATGAGTCATTAATAATAATTAAGATAATTCGACAGACAGAATAAATAATGGCGTAACGTTAAGGTGTGCAAAGAAAATATATGATCGCCACGGTTGCTGATTGAAAATTGAAATTCATCCATGTAAAATAATGTCATTGGCATATCGGTATAATTTGCGAGCACTGATATTAAACTTGAACGATGTCAAGATATTTGTCGATCATGAATTTTGATTGTTAGAATATATATATGGATAAATAATATAATAGTATTTTATTAAGTGAATGTAAAAAAACAGTATTTATTAATTTGTATTATTAATTTATAGCAAGTGACATTATTACATTTTTATAAAATGATGACATTTATTACATTTTTATAAAATTAATGCAAATAATAAAATACATTATAAAATTTATCAATAGATATTTAGAAATTGACTGATATGCATCTTTCAATTTTATACATATTCATCATTGATAGACTAATTTAAGACGAATTTAAGAATTTTTTTATTTGATAATTAGATAATTTTTATATTAAAGATTGTTCAATAATTCATTGAAATTGTTTCAGAAATCATTATCAAAGTATAAAGTAAGTATAAAGTAAAAAATATAAGTAATTTAAAAAAACTTCTTCCATTTTTTTTTAAATTTATCATTGAAATATTATTGGAAAGTTAATAGCATGAAAAAATGATAAAAGAATTCTTTTCATCATCACATGATAAATAAATTTTTATATGATTTAACAACATTTTATTTCATATACATAAATTTATATACTAATCATAAGAATTTAATTATTGCAGATGTGTTTATACATAATTTCAAAATTAAAATACATACTGTTAAAAATAAACATAGAACTGGGGAGAAAGAATTGAGAAAGAAAGTGAAAACAGAAAACTCACCAGCGAGAGATATGTCCCCTGAAAGGATGTTCCCTGGTCTTACGAGAGGAAAAGGATAAAGTCAGGTTGTTGGCGGCAGCAAGCCGCGGGCACAGGACTGCGGTCAGCCAAACCACCTGTAACAGAGAAGAAAAAACTCTAATTTATTGTCGATTTAATGGAAATATTCAATGAAAATATTTTAAACTTATTTACAGACAAAATATTTGCATTTGACTTTTGATTTGTTTGAATTCGTTATACAAATTGTTGCTTATTTTAATTTCATTACACTATCAAAGATTTAAAACGATACGATTGTCTCTCTATTCTTATAATTCTATCAAACTATTTATTTATGCTATAAATTATCAATCAGCCTATAAATCAAGAAAGAAAACTACTAAGCTCTTTCTCTTGTACCACTGATAAAATTGAATTAAACAGTTTAATACGTATAACGAATCAAGTACAGATTCGGCTTCTAATTCCTCGTGATAAGATATATATATGTATATTCATATATTTCGCAATTAAACCGAAAGTCACGGCGAAAAGAGAAAGAGAGAAAAGAAGGGCGAATGGAGCAAAGCTGAATGCCGAGAGGCCTGTTTTGCATAAAAATTATAAGTCGAATTAATGTTTTCACCTCCGTGGCTCGTGTGCACCGCATTTCGTGTCCGATGCGTGACTAACACAGTGGTTTATTGCATGTTAATACGAATCCGGTACCACCAGTATTTTCTCATGAAATAATCTTGACTCACCCTTATAAGCAGAATATGTATATTGAAAGAACGAAGGATTCTACGAAATTTGATTAAAAATAAGGAAGAATTTTAATAAATAATTTTCAATAATGAATAGATATAATGAATATTGATATTTAGAAGAATATTTTTTCAATATTGTTATTAATTGTATTAAATGTACATAATCTATCTATCTACATATGTACTATAGGTTGGTATCTGAATCGTGATTAATTTAATTAATTTTGCAAATTAAATTAAATGAAAAAAGAATGGAATTTATAAAGAAAAATGAATAATATGATGAATAAATGAATATAAAAAAAAATAGCAAGTTGTTATCAAAAATTCTGTCCCATATAAAATTTCATATATTTAATTATTATATTAAAATATAATATATTAAAATTAAATATTAAAATATTCACATAATCCAGCACTAAGACTAAATAAAACTATTCTAAATACTTTTTACAATTTCATATAAATCAATTATCAAAATTTGATAAATCTATAAATTCTCTATTTCCATTTAACTTCCAAATTCGCGCTATATTTCAAATTCCTGTTCCCACACGAGTTTCAATTACTGCGCATGTCTTCGAGTACCATCCATGCGCCACAATTACCCGTCTTGTGGTGTAGCCGGCAATTAAAGATAAATATCATTAAGACGTCGTCGTCATTGTGTATGATGCATTTCGTATAAGGAGGATTGATTAAAATCGCGTTGGCAGTGAGAGGAGGCCGGCCGACGATGAGGCAACAAACCGATAAGGATCCAAGAACTCTGTGTGTGGTCTGTTCTGTGTGAAGACAGATCCGATCTGAGTGGCTCCATCGGTAATATCGAGATCCTTTATATCATACGGGAGGCGCCAATTGTTTAAACGTTCAACCCTGATGGCTTAATTAAGTGACACAGTCGTTTAACTATCTTATTGTCCCATTTCTATAAATCTCTAGAAACTGAGATGTCTTCGCTATTTTAGATATCGTCCGAGTCGTATATGAGACGGAGAGATCAATCTTTGTATATATGGTTGAAATTAAAATTCTAATTAATCGAACGTTGAGGAAAAAACGTGGATAGACAGACATTTGACTATTTTTTATTGTTTTTATAAAGTTTTAGAATGTAAGATTGCTTCTTTTATTGTTTATCGTATATAAGACAAAAATATTAAATTTTTATATATTGTATTGATTTATATTTCAATGTTATAAAAGGAAAAAATTCAATGTTATGAGACTCAATTTTTAAAAAAGTTATAAAAAATGGTAATGATATGAAATTACGGATGTTTATGTATTTATAAAAAATTTAAATATAAAAAGTTATAGAGAAAAAATTTGTATGTGTACAGATTATATAAAAATATACAAAACTTTAGAAATAAAAATCTTTTTATATTTAAAAATATCAATATAAAAATCTAAATTATTATAATAACAAAATTATTAATTTTGTTTTAATAGATAAAAACTATTATTATTGTCATTACTTCAAAGTCTAAACTTGTATGCACGAATTATCCAACTCATGTAACAAGTAAGAGCTAAAACTATCCTTTCATTAAATACTCTAAATATATACATCTGTGAAAACTCTATTAGTACTCAACGACAGTGGTAGTCAATACCTTATTTAACATTCATTAACATATATGTATTCTGTTAGAATTATTATATAATAATAATTGTACAGTCATCAGAAAATTAGTTTGAAACATTGGTTATTTTCTATTGGTTATTTATTTTATTTTATTTATTTATTTAAATACTGAAGTATTTCATTAATATAAAATTTCTTCTATAATATTAACTTTAACTTTTTTGTGTCCAATATAATGTAATTACAGTTTGAGAAAATTATAATAAAATTGAAGAGAAATATGCATTTAATGATTCTTAATTATATGTGCATGTAATGAATTTATAATACAAGAGAATTCCACTTTCTCTATATACATAAAACAAGTTAAAATAAATTTATAAAATAAAATTTCTTCTATATCAATTTGTCAAAGGACAAGTAAGTTTTCATTCAATTGATAAAAATTTCATATTCATATAAAAATATTGTGTACAACATTTTCTCTTAAATCCATAACAATGTATTACAAAAACATCTACAAAATTTTTCCCACGTTCTTAATACCAATGTACATATTATCCACTATACCATCATACGATGAACAATTTCGACAAACTCGTTTCAAAATGAAAACCGTTCATTCAGGTCCATAAAACACATTGTACCGTAACGTCGTTGCGGTTGTCGTACATATATTCACATTTAAAGATTCCATTGCAATGCATCGGTGGCCAAGTTTTAGCCACGGCCCGAAACACGCTAATTAGCATCTCGAATTCGTTGCAAAGTTGTCTCTTGCCTTAATAACGAAGTGTCCAATTAGTTGGACGAAGCCTATTTTCGAAACTTGAAATTAGACGGTGAGATATTTCACCGAGAAATGTGCTTTCGTTGCAATGTATATCTTCATCGTTCTCTACTAATAATACTGTTTTGAATCTGGTAAAAGTTTTGCTCTTTTGATCACATTATCAAATTAACTTGTAATGTATTAACTATAATAATATTTATATGTTACGTCATTTTCTTTTGTTATGTAAAAAATATTATAATTAAATTATACTTTTGTCGTAAATTTACACTTAAAGTTCAAACTTTTATTAAATTCTGTGAAACCAATAAAAAGAATAGAATAATAGAAAGAATATTAAATTTAATATTATTATTAAAAAGTTATTTATCTTCGATATATTAAAATATATCAAAAATTTCGTATATGAAAAGAATTATTTATTTCTAATAAAAAATATTTAATTCGTTAAAATAAAACGAAATCTTATTTTAACAAATTCACCATGACAGTTTTCAAACACAATAAAGGAATAACGAGAAGAAATCACGACTTTATGGCGGCACTTTATTCGAGTCTTGATATTTTCCTCTACACTCTGGTATTAAAGGGTTAATTTGAAAGTACGCGTCCAATAAATCTACCCACCGAAAAATCCCACGTGTCACATGTAAAAACTACCGGTTACATTCAACCTCTCGTATCTTGACTTATGGCGTATCGGCTCGTAATTTTTCTCGTGCAAGAGATCGCATCCCTTAGGCAGGCGAGGATCAGGAAACGAGTTTGCAATCCGAACGCCATACTTTAGCAGCCTTTTTTACATATTTTGCACGGATAAGTTTAAATCTTTTAATACATTTCCAATCGTTTCTTTTTACTTAGGAATAGAATATTCGAAATTTGGAAATTTTCAAATATTTTGGAATTGGAAAAGTTTCTTGATATTTCGAAATTAAGATAATAATAACGATAATTTTGCAATCGTATAAATTTATTTTTATTTAATAATAATAATTCAATCGAATGAGATTTTATTTCAATCATATCTATACTTTATCTATTCTTTGAAAAAAGCTTTAATATGATAAATCAAGTTTCGATTCTCAATAAATTAAAATTAATAACTACTAGACATAGAGTTTATTTTTACGAGTGTTAAACCAATGAATAAATACAATATATGTAATAGCAAAATTATTCATCTTCATTTGTTAAAAAATCGTTAAATATATTGGTTATATTTATATTGGTTTCATCATACATTTTTCATAAGATAAAAATATAATATTACGATCACAATTCATGATCGATGACGGGCAAAATTTAAAATTCCAGCCATGGCTGAATTGAAATCTTGTATACTTATGAACCAGGTTACGAGTTCTGTTTTCGATATACATCTCGATATATGAACCCTGAAGCATGGTAAACTGATAACATTCAAAGAGGCAACAGACGTATCGAAACGACGATATCGATAGAAGCCCTATCGACACGTTTCTTTATGTCTGTTCACGCGTGTGCACCCGCGTAGGATCTGTCTCTTTGTACTTTCGGTCACCAAAATCACGGTATGTGCATGGTATGTGCACGGATTATCTCTTACGACCACAGTTTATGCGTTCTGTTTTCCGTTTAAAGGCAGTGTTTCCCAACCTTTTACAACATTTCGAATAATTTAAAGTTTTTATAAAAATTAGTGTTACAATAGTTAATTATTGTTAGTATATTTAAATGATAATAATTTTTTTAATAAAATTTTTTCTAAATATAATTTAAATTATAAATAATCTTGGCATGTTGAATAGAGAAGTAAAAAAATTATTGAAATGTCGAATATTCGTGATGATTTATAAATAATAAAAAAATCGAGGAATATGATTTATGCGTAATGAAATTTTTAAAAATAATTTTAATGAAAAATGATCGTAACGATCCTCTTTGAAGATTATACGTGTTAAAAATCTATATAAATGAACATTTTTTTCAATTAAA